ATCAAACGTGCCAAAACATCCAAGCTGAAATCCTACCGGGAGATAGGGTGAGTTTCATTCTGCTCGACCGTTTCGAGTAAGAAAAGGTGCAGATTTTTTGCGTGTAGTCAATGTGACAGTAAAAATAGATAATTACGTGAGTTACGAGTCGGTCATGTTGATGGATAAAGTCACAGATAGCGGTTTCAGTCCAATTGACGGCTAAACCAGGTTTTTCTGATCAGATCACTTTGACAGCAAAAGTAACTTTACGTGCAATTGAGTTAATTGACCGTCCGACACTGTTGATCAGCTCGATGATCGACAGACCTGGCATGCCATGCTGTGCGCAGAATCTTACTTGTGAGGAGCCGGATTCGTTTTGCTCGAACTGAAGCCTGAGGCCCAGGGCGTTACCATTGCGCATGCTATGGTGCGTATCATCTCGTGACCTAAGCTGCTGGCCCTTCCTGTGTGCCGCGGCATCAGAAAAAGACTGACAAGCTAGCATGGAAGGGGAGCCACCCAGTAAGCGCGGCCGGCCCGCTGGTCCAACAAGAACAGCATATGTTGGATGTAGGGATGGTTCTAGTCGCAGGATGACCCCTGTGACAAACATGTCCTCAAGCCTCATTTCCGGGGAGGCTTCCCAAGCCAGGTGCAGCCAGCAGCAAGGCAGCATTGCAAGCAAGCCTGTTGGTTTTCGAGCTGGGAGTTTTTTCCAAACCAGCCTGGTGAGACGGCAGCAAGGAGCAGGCATAGGTTCTGTGGGAGACGCGCCGTCAGGGAGTGGTCCTTCAATAGGTCAGCAGCTAGGTGAAAACGCCATCCCTGCAATGGCAGGGTCTGGTGATCAGGACGTTGCTGACGAAGACTGCTTGGATCTCAACCCTGAAGTCACACCTGCAAAGGAGGTTGCTTCATGCCTCCAGGATCCAGCAGCCGCTCCTCCCAATGCTCCCGAAACAGACCCAATTCTGGAAAAGTACTGCTCTCAGCTGCTCAACAGATGCAGGGAGCGCCTGGTTTGCCCTCGAGCGATTCTTCACAAGGACAGGCAGCAGTCTGCGTTCCCGCAATCTCTCTTTCAAGTGGTGATGTCGACTGGATGCGCTTTGAGTTCCCTGGCGTGAAGACGATCACCTTGGGGGAGAGCGGTCCAGGCGCCGTCTGGTGGTGTTCTTGCTCTGATGACCTTATCTTACATCGGAGTTTGTTTGAGGCTTTGTCTAGGACAGCAATCGACCGCAGCTTTCTAGCTGGCCTTGCTGGGCAATGCTATCATTTGAAAGTCCTTCTACGCATCGCCAGCACGCTTGGATTGCAGATTGAGGACCTAAGTAGGAGGCAAGCTGTGCTTTCCCCAGCAGTGCGAGTGGCGGAGCTGGAGATAGACACCGAAGCTGAAGGGGAACGACTCGTTAGCGTTTCAAGTATTCCTCTGCCCTGGTCAGGGAAGGACGGCCTTCCCACAGTCTTGGTTGGCTGCGCCAGCAAGGGGTATGCAGTAGTCCGCCGGACCAGCCGAGGAACTTTGGCCTGCACGTCTTGCTCCGGCAGCGGGCGGATCAAGTGCTGGCACGTACAGGCCCAGGTTGAGGAAGCCAGCGCTTTAGTCCCCCCAAGCAAGGCCCTTACTGCGGCAGAGTTTGAGGAGCGCCTCAAGCGAGCTCTATCGGACCTTAGCACAGGGATGAGACGACTGACCTGTTTGAGTAGGGTGCGGGTTGAGGAACCTCATTTGATTGGGCCAGAGTTGGCAGATATCTTGAAAAGGCGAGGCACCCTTGAGCTCCGGTTCCCGCCCAAATGCTCCATCAAAACGGAACTGCCGGGGGTGCAGTGCGGTTGTGGTCGGTCTTGGGAGGCAGCAGAGAAGAAGTGGGTGTCAGGTACTATTTTCCATCTGACTGCCCCTGTGTCCACTGAGGTGGAGGAGTGGGCATGTCTGTGCGGTGGCAAGAAGCATTACGATGGCGCCTCGGTTGGTCTCCTCAACTTCAGCAATGTCTACCTCTTCAGTTATGAGTTGCTGAACTGGTGAGTGCCGGACAGCAGATTCAATATTCGTACGGCTACTTCTCCACGTCTGATTCAAAAAAGGTTTGAAAGATATTGTTTTGGTGCTTGGCCTTTTCTGTAGTCTGAGGAAATGGTTTCAGAGGCCCTGCTTACATCTTGTGTGCCTTGAAACGAACCAGATGCTTGCCTTGTCGTCATTCTTTGCCCCTAAATATAGTCTTCGAGTTTCTTCCAGCAATCAACTCGCTTGTGTTTAGTGCGCTCGTTTCTCTTCCTCTCTTGCTCTCAACTTTGTTGTTCACGCACCTTAGTAGCCTAAAAGATTTGGCTTTGTAACTTTCAGTACTTATATTCAGGAATGTGCCTGTGAAGAGGATCGTGGGAGAATCGATTCAGTGGGTTGCTTCTGACTGACCGCCAAGGTGGGCATTCTGGGCCTTTTGCAGGGTTTTCTAGAGCTTTGCAAAATGGAGGTTTCCGCAAGGCAAGCGTTTAACGTTTCCGATACTCAAGCTGCCGCGTAAAGCTTGGTCCCTTTTCATCTTGTCGCCAGGTACTCCCATCAGTTCTGGAGAACCAAGCTGCCTTTTTTCTCCATGTGGAGCACGCAAGTCTCCATGTACGCTGGTATTGGTTTGCCTCCAGACTTCCTGCCAGAAGAAGTACGCCAACATGCGCTCCAAGTTTCAAGCCGCCTGGCTCGACTATATCAACCTGCAGAGAATTGACTACAAGACGTCCTTCAGCTGCAAGTGCTGCAATGGAACCGGGCACGATGCCAGGTACGAAACTTGATGAAAGCTTCGAGGCTTTTTGGTAAGAGATTCTGAACGACCACTCTCCTCATCCGTCTCTCTATGATTGAAACTAGTCGCTCACCTGTCTCTCGTTCCCCGGTCTTTGGAGAGGCAAGTTCGGCTGATCTGATGACCCGTCGTTCGCTTCTTCGATCATAACTCAGTGGGACCAAGCTCGACATAAGCGTGCATCTTGAAAGCGTTGACGTCATCAGATGTCCGTTGAACCGGGCGGCAGGATTTGCTTGGTGCACAATCAGTCACTGTATGCCCATATGAGTTCAAAGGGTTTTTCTTGTCGAAAAGCGAGCTCTCTACTCCGTACTCACTTTAACGACGACCGGCTGCAGGAGCGACGAGCGGAACGAGTACGTGTGCAGCCTGGTATGCGGTTCCCTTGGCGCATGCGACACAACGCCAAGGCTGCTCTGATCTTCGAAAGATTCGTCGTCTCCCACCACGTCGATTAGATAACTAATTCCTCCAACGTCTCCGTGTAGGCCGGTTGGTGAGCCGGAAGAGGTTACAGCGGACGGCGTCCTACTCGGATTCAACTCGAGCTTCAGCTACCTGGTCCAACCATGGGCAAGTCCTGCATCCGAACCCCTGGTTTCGGGGTCCCTGCATACCGAGCGGATACTCGTCAAAGCTGCTCCTGCTCGGCAACTTTTGCTTCGATTCTCAAAGCGAAGGTGAGATTTAACAGGGCCGTTAACAGAATTCTTTAGATTTGTCTTTCTTCATTTTGTCCAACAGGGTGGCAAGAATAGATCCAGTTCTCAGTTAAGATAACAAAATTTTAATGGTCTGCTCGAAGAGTCGTCTACTGATTCGGACAGCCTTGCGGGCAGTGTTCTGGCTAATTGGAGAGCGTCGTGGTGGGCAGGGACGCTCGAGCCTTAAAGTGCTGAAACCCCCAACCGCCCACCTTAGGAAGAGGTTCTGGATAAAAATCTGCAAGTAGGTACCCCACGCTAAGTTCCGTTCAATGGATTCGATCTGCCATCTGGGAATTAAATGCAAGACAGGATGTGAGGATCACGAGCAAGCTGCGTCCTTTAGTGGTCGTTTGCTTAGTTCGCTAGCTTCATCAACACATCCACTCTGAAATATCATTCCGTTGGATTGGGGAGTCAATGTCCGGTTCTAAGGAGACCATGGACACAAAAGGTCCCTTTGGGGACGTTTTTGAGGTTATAGGGACGTCTCTGAGATTAAAAGCAGAAGTGATCGGCTTTTTGACATCTTCTTTACGACAGCCCCTATACCGCTTTCGGGTCGTGTGCCATGCACGGAACTCCACAGTCGTCGCCATCCTTGCGTTCGGTTCGTTCATTTTGTGGTTAGGCGTCAATCACAACGAGCGTTACGTTGGTAGAAAGAACCGCTGAACCGCTGGCTGCTTTGTTAGACATCCATCTCAGATCATCCGCTTCCTTCCTGCAGTACGACAGCCCGAGGAGCGGGGCTGGATGATGCGAAGTATGCTGAGCTCCGCAAGCTTCTCCAATCTGAAGAGGAGGCTTCGGTCCTCTGCTTCCTCGTGGACGCTCCCCTCACTGACAAGGTAAGCAAGTCGAGTGCCTTGGCGACTTCGAGTGAATGGAAACCAAGCTGGTGGTGGGGAAGTACTTGACGTAGTACAGCGTTGTCAAATGCAAGTCTCCTGATCTTCCCAATATTCGCTTGTGCAATTTAACTGCGGCGTCGCAAGTTGTGTCCCACTTTGCATCTTGTTGCCCAACAATTTCCCTAGTTGGGAACAGTGTGGCAACACTTTGACCACTAGCCGTCACTCTCGTCACTTGGCCGGTTATGTTGATTAACCAGTCCTGTTATCTGATTGTTGCTGAATGTTGCGTGTATTAGGTGACCTCTTTTAGCATCTCGCTCAAGGAACATAGAATCAGGTTGCCGCGGTCAAGGTTATCCGGAAAAATTGCGCTCCGATATTGAAAGTTCTTCAAATGGAACTTCTCACGCACAGGACCGCCACTTCGCCCGGCCAGAGGTGCGGGAGTTTCTGCATGCGGTCGAGTCCTCTGCACCTACCTGCTCTCTCCTTCCTTCGAGCGTCTTTGCCGTCGTGGAGAACCATCTTCTGCAACACGGCCACATAGCCGACTTCGAGTCGTACCAGCTGTTCGCATCCAACGCGTCCGTTCTGCATTCGCTCATACTTGCCCTTCAAAAACGAGCTGCGGATGGTAAACTCGATCGCACTGCGGTCGATCTTCTGAGGTCAGTATTGTGTGCACTTTGTTCGAATCTTCAGTCAAATTGATCTACAGATTCACAGGCGGTCATTGTTAGTGTAGGAAACATGCACTTGCTGTGGACGGCAGAAAATGTGTACATGTAACCGGCAGCTCAAGTACGAGCAATGCTTCCTTCCGGGGAAAATCTCTCAGCACGAAATCAGTTTCGAGTGGGCTATCTTCCCACTAACCACGAGGTGACCGATGGTGTAGTTGCAATCTGAGAACGGACCGCGCGAAGTTTGAGACGGTGAACTGCTCGATGAGACAGGCTAATCGAAGTCAACCTGGTGACTTTCTACAAAACTTGTCTAATCCAGGGCCATGCTTGCGGTGGCACGGCGTGCCTTCAAGCCCGCCGTCCAGCGCTCTCCGTCTCAGGCTGCCAACCGCAAGGAGCCCGCTCTCTCCGAGCATCCGGAACTAAGTGAGTTCTCATTCGTCTGATGCAACATTGACGTCATCAGGAACTCGTCTTTAATACCATTGTGCAGAGTGAGTAGCGACTTTTTCATCAACAGATTTTGGGGTACGGAGTGCAATCCGCTTTTCGATCTTCTTTCGAATGATTGGAGAAACTTCCGGGTTCTGAGCAGTCTTTGATGTATTTCTTTCTCGCCCAGACTAGTTCTTTGATAGATTGCCGAGTCCATGCATTTCTTGCTATCCGAAGTTGATACTGGTTCGTAGGGTGGCATATCATGACGTTTTTTCCCACTAGTCGAGCTGCCTCAGCATATGCACCTTTGCCTTGCAGGTACTACCACGTGGACCGATGAAGAGATGTTCATGCGGACGGGCCAGTATTTTCCAACTCTACCGGTTGTCAGGAGAGTGCGGCGATACCGGGCGGACTATGTGAGCCAGAAGTCGGGAGCCACGTGTCGTAAGTACCAGTACAAGCATCTGGGCATCACGCTGAGGCTTCTCACAGTGTTCTGCTTAAAATGCAGTCGTTGCATTGGTTTTTTGGTTATGCGAAACGCTGAGTCTCCGAGAACTTTGTTCGAGGTTCTTTACACTCGCTGGAAGCGCGCACCAAAACTCGTAGCTTATGACAACGGGTGTCATTACCAACGCATTCATTCTGAATAGGGAGCCTGAATGGGCCGCAGATACATTAGTAGGAATTGATGCGCTTCACCAGCCAAACCATAAGGATTGTAGTATAGCTTACGCCATCAAGCGCAACCCATCGTTGCAAAGTCGGAACACAATAGTCCACGAGCAAAGAAACTCGAGGTTGGCAAACATAAAATCACAATGCGCGTATATGAGCCAGGCTACCTTTCTAGCATTTGCTAGGTATTATCTGCACTGTTTGAACCGGCAACAGGACTGTGGCGATATTCTTTCGTTAACTAGTCGGGTAGGCCCGGAGCTTGAGGAGGCCGTAGGTAACTTATTTGAGGACTTCGACGCAGATGTAGAATCATGTGACATCGAGAATGTATAATATACTCTGTTAACAGTTGTTTCTAAGTTTCGCAACCGAGCGCTTTCGACGTATTGTTCTTGTGACCATGAATAAATGGTCGTTTGATCTTCAAGAACCTAAAGAGGCCCGATGGTCAAACGGTTGCATGCTTAGGTATGCCCTATGGTCAAGAAATTGGAACGCAACGCGTGATCTGCATGGGTCGGTCATATTAAGTTGCCCTTCAATGCATCTCGGCAGTGGCGGCCGCCGCTTAGTCATTGAATTGCACCCGGGCATGCTGGTTTCTTTTGCAAGATAATGATCGGTATTTAGTCACTATGACCGCTTGAAATTGGATGGTTTACATATTGAATTAGCATGCATCATAGGTTCAAAGTTTCGTATCTGTAGCGCGTGGATGAGAGCTCAAAGTATGCATGACAATTAACTACTCATGACCGCGCAGCGGCTAAAGCATCCTGGCCCGTGCGCGAAATACATTGACGATCTGGTTGGGTGACCATGATCGTCGGGCACTACCGTCATGAGTCGCTTTACTATAAGTTAGTAAATTGATAATGTGGCGGCACATGACTCAAGCTGCCAAACTTTGAGGAAAGTGCGGAATCGCTATGTATGCAGCCAGATTTGGATTGCTCATATGCTGCGCCGCTGTCAACAACGCCTCGCTGAGCTTGAAAAATGCATGGGCGCATGCAGGGTGGCCAGGTGGCGTGCTCTAAGTCAACCGTAGCGCAACGTTCATACCGTAAAGCACGCCAGCGTGTGTACGCAAGGCTAGCACGTTGTCAGATTTCACTCGTGAATAGGTTACTGCATGATTGCGGATTTCATTTTGACCTCGGAACCTTGCCAGCATGTGTCAATATATTGAATCGAAGACACATCGCCAACACTGAGAATAATCGAAACGGCCTTATAGACGGTTGAGTTATTGGTGGCCTGAATGCATGTTTGGCACCGTATTACCTAAGCGGATTGAGGTACCATTGTCCGCGCTGTATTCTGCAATGCTTTTGCCGTATCGTTTATCTGTCCAGTTCATGTCACACAACGATGTTGCGGCGTCACTTGCAATGCCATGATTCCGCAGTTGTAGCACTTGACTGAACCGCACAACCGGCTATCTAGATACTATCTGGAGATACTACATGTCATCTTGACCTTCAAGCCCCAACTCAACGCCACGATACTTGCTGGCATAGTATGTATGATACAGCACATTATCCGTTCCTCATTGAACCCATAGGAATTCGATTGGAGAACCTCAACAGGAGCCTGATCATAGATAGGGACTCGGTCGAAGTTCAGTGCTAAGCTTAGTCACCTTCAATCTTTTGGGGCCGGAGCCCCTTCAAAGCAACGCAACCATCAGACTAAACAACAAGTAGACAAGAATATCAGCGGTAGCGACGTGATCCGTTCGTCAACTCTTTCAAAACTTGGCTAACACCGGCACTTGCGACTCGTCTCGGCGGCCGGTCGGGCATCATTATCCGTGGGAACGAACCTCCGACTCCACCTGGCAGGTTTTCAACACCGCCCCCTGCACAAGCACAAGGTTGCAATCAGACGGTGTGCTGAGCAGTGAGCAAGCACTTCGACATGCCAGTCCCAAATTCTCCTTCTAGACTAAAATTGTTGATGCTTAGTTGTTGTGACGGAGGCTAGTTTCGACAATGTAGGACTAGACTTTCAGCTCATCACCCAAGTCAGATAATGGGTTACACAAATCATGCTGACAGTGCGCTCACCTTCCGTTGAGCTACTTGATTCGGCAATCCCGGCCCTTGACTTCTTTCCTCGACCTACAAACAAGAACACCCCAAACGCGTCTCAACACCTTCGAGTTATTTCCGAACTCAATACCGATGAAACAAGCGAAAGAAGAATCTCCGGAAGCATTGTGCTTTCGTGGATCGATGCGAGTGAAAAGCAACAGCAGTAAAACCGTATGTCCAGAGCAGTTTGTGTGCTTTTGGAAGCCTTCAACCCCCGAGCAAACACGTGACAGCTGCAAGCCTCGGCTCGTTACCTCTGGGTACTTTTCCAGGAGCAATCTTCCTCTTGAGGGTGCCAGACGCTAAGTCGGAACTTGGACGAGGTGGAAGCCGAGCATGGTCTTCTGGTTCTGCACGAAAAACAATTTGGACTTGTATGCTTGTAGGCAGTGGCATGCAGGTTGACCTTGTACCGCTGCCAAACGCTGAGTGGCTTGAACCGCTGTAAAATGGTCTGCGATACTTTTAGGTAGTTTTTAAAAACAACTTCGGAATCACCAACTTGCCTTCGCGGACAACAGATATGCCCCACCCCGACATGGCCGAAACGTCTCTCTCACCTATACACGGCTTCCCCCCGAGCTGTGCACTTGGCATCTTTTCGGGCGGCCCCCCGGCCGGATTCGGACCCGAGGCCTTGTCAGGCCTGCCCCCCCCCGGCTGCGTTCCCGGCGCCCTTTCGCCCGGCGCCCCCCCGCGCTGTGCACTCGGC